TCGATAAAAAAATCACCCATTATATCCAAGTAAATTTCTGAAGTTTTAAAAATGCGTATCTACTTATAAAATAATGTTTTACAACATCATATTAAGAATGCGTTTCACGTTTATTTTTCTGTTACCTTCCTAATATATTATGTATAATGACCTGTTTGAACCATCGTAACAATAGATTAAACTTAATGGAAATATTAGAGCCAACACAATATCATTATTATTAATCAATTATATGGGGTTTTTTTTTTAGCAGAGGCCACTATTAATAAAGTAGGTGCAGATTCAATCTTCAATGTTCAGTCTAATGTTTTGATCGCGGTGTTTATTGTCAACTTCAATACTGGTTATCAAACTCTCTTTTCGTTTACTATTTTCARGAGTATTAAATATAAATATTATAATTGCTGAAAAACCATACTAGATATTCTATTCAATGAAAACGCTATTTTACATGGTGTACTTTATCACATCTCCAAAGTATTAGTTTCCGTCGAATATAGTAACGATAAATTTAGCAACTGTCCGAAATAGTTCAGCGATCGTATAACATGCACGATAGTACAAGTGTACAACACACATAAATACATGATAAATTTACATAAATAGTATTATTATCAAATTATATTATGATTTTAGTTTAGATTAGGTGTACCTATTTAAATTCTTCTTTTGCTGACCATGCAAGCTGAGATCAGACAAATTCATTTTATTTACAATGATAGGTACTTGATATTCTTAAATGATCAAAGATCATATATCAATAAACCTTCGACAATGTATATTATAACATGTTAATTAGGTAACATATTATCTTAAGACTTGTAATTGATTGTTCAATAAATGACTAACAATCGTTGTATTAAATACTATATATTTCCGATCTCGCACTATACACACAATTTCACCTTGGGTGCATCGACTATTCATTCACTTTCTATACAGAATGTCACAGAATGTTAATTAATTATGAGAAGACATAGCTACCAAATTAAAGGGAAGTGGCAATCGCGTATTTATAATGTACCTACACAATTGTGATTCCAATAATAAAAATAAAGATGTAATGATTTAATCTGATGGGAACATATGAATATATTAAACCTTTATACATAATAATATACCCATAATAATTGGAAAAATAATTTATCTAATTAGCTGTTGTGAGATTAACGATCCAATAATTATGGCGATACCTAGCCCACCATTCTTGCTTAATCAAAATAATCCAATCCTTAGGAACTATAATCCCTTACCCCTTGGACTTTGGAGTAGAAAACATT